AATGAACTCAAAACTCAACTATCACTTTAAATGACCAAGCAATATCGTGAATTAAATTTATGTTTAAGGTTTTGAGCCAACCTCCATATCAAAATTTCAAGTCATTTCGGAAGTTCCTCGTACTTAGTCTTCAAAATTTTCCTCATCCTATTGGTATACAATTCAGGCCGCCTCCAGTTCAACTTTGTTCCCTTGTTTGGCAGCTATGTCTCAGGCAAGCCTATTTTGAAAACCCCCGAATAATCCCCGAAATTCATAACCCACCTAACCTCTCAGCATCCTCAACCTTAACTAACTTTTTTTACTCTTGAACTTCTGTCTAGAGCAGCTGAAGCATTTCCAGCAACGCTGTTTGCTAATCAGTTTTCCCTCAGCTCTTTTATTTTTGAAAAGATCATCTACTCCAGAGGATTCTTGGATTTGCTTGCAAAGGTGCGAAAAAACACGAAGGAAAACTTTCTAGACGTAATATTGTTGATTTCAATGGTAACGTTTCCCACTGAGGCAAACGCCTCGCTAGAGTCTCGCGCTGCAGATGCGAACATTGCGAAAAGGGACTTCCCAATCGGAACAGACTTTACAAACAAGAATAAGTTTCAGAATTCGATTCTCATTCCATAGAATCCCATCTAAAATGATTGATTTAGCGATGTTTATTTTCTAAATTATAAGTTTCAATTGCATCACCTTAGAATCGTATGAGTTGTTAAACCAACACCAGTTCTTCACGATAAACCTTCAGTTTAGCATATGTTCGTCATTGCAAAAATTGCCCAACGGAAAATTACCAACACTTATGTGTGAAAAAAGCTCAAATCTATGCATGTGTTGTATTCGAAAGTACTTGATGACCTCAGTTTTTCCGAGGCATTTCAGATGACGCCCGTCTACGCGAAAAGCAGTTTCTGCTTTCCTGTGAGAGGGGAGATATCGGTAGTGTGCGGAAGTTGCTCGCTATCAAGGATGGACTCAACATCAATTGCGTGGATCCATTAGGAAGGTATGGTCACACTCAGCTCCTCCTGCAAATTATTCGTTTCAATATTATCAAGTAACGGCAGCGGGATCCAAAAGCGAGTGTATTTCCAAACTCGGCATTATAAACGGATTCACGATATGCTTCGCATATTAAGGAGATGGAAAATTACGTTGATTTTGGTACAAGGAGCCAAGGGTTTTGTTAAGTGTGTAAAACGATTTTGGTGTCTACTTTAACGAAATGGCCAAAAAAATAATTTTGATCATTTTTGACGAATCGGTTCTAAATAATTCTGTATAGGCTTTTGGTAGGTTGTTTTGAACAGAAAAAGCCTATCCATTCTGTTTTGTAATTCGTTTTCAGGCAATAAAATAAAGCAAAAATTTAGCACTCGTATTTTGCAGATCATCTTCGAAGATACTCATGCTTAGAAGTTATTTAGGTTGATATCTGACCCATGGATTTCTAAAAGTCATTTCAAAGGTAGTAGGGGGTAGAATCATATTTTCATATAAATATCGAGCAAAGCATTGCCACGTTTTAGAATAACCATATTGATCTAGTAATAACAATTATTAGCAAGCAAAATAGAGGTCATATTCGAAATTTCAAAGTCCTGCGCAGAATTTTGAGTGAGATGGCCTCAGCCAATTACAATATGATTACCGTAACCCTTCCACGATCCAGCACTTATAATCATTTTCCTTGGCAAAATAAAAACGCCCTCACAGTATCGAACTCATAATCGTAAGCATACAGAATACTGCAACAGATTGTGTCTTCTCTTGACAAGCGGTCATATTTGATAGAATATGCCGTTCTGCAAGAACAGGGCTTGACGTATTACAAAAACTCCAATTTTTGATTTTGAATATTCATGAACAGCTGTCGACAATGTTCCAGTTTTCCCGCTGAATATGCTTTTCACTGCAGAGGGCATAGTCTTCCAGTATAGATCTGAAAATTTGCTCTCCTTTTAGTCAAGTACTTTGTCTTTTCAGAAGCGCGCTCCTAATTGCCATTGAAAATGAGAACATCGAAATGATAGAGCTTCTTCTTGACAACAACATCGAGGTGAGGTAGTTCTGCTCCATGTTAATCTTTTTTTCTTTCTTTTTTTCTAGTCTTCTTGATATATTCAGACCGGCGACGCAATCCTCTATGCTATTGGCGAAGAAAATGTCGAAGCAGTTGAGATAATCATCGAACATCTGGAAAAGATTGATAAATTCAACCCTGAGGTGATCATCGTTAAGTTTGCTCATTCCATCCCCTAATCATTCAACTATTTTCTTTCCAGAACCAAGGTGTTGACATCAATGAGCATTCGGCTTTTACACCCGATATCACGCCAATCATTCTGGCTGCTCATAAGGCAATTTTCTGATATCTTCCGCATATTTTTTGAAAACTGATTCCTTTTAGGACAACTATGAGTGCATCAAGTTGTTTTTGGACAAGAAAGCTACTATACCGCGTCCACACGATGTCCACTGTTGCTGTCATGAATGTGATGCGGTAAGTTCTCCTGTCTTCTTTGGCACAAATACCGTATGCTACCGTAATCTCGCGTGGCAAAGCTACAGTATACGATGGTATACTGTAGCAGCGCATAAGTGTCGCGTGATTCTAAAACGCCATTTTTGACTTTTAGGCTAGGGAGGAAGATTCTTTACGGTTGTCTCGATCAAGAATTAACGCCTACAGAGCTCTAGCTTCACCATCACTCATCTGCCTTTCGGCTAAGGACCCCATTCTGTATGCCTTTGAGTTGTCGTGGGAGCTTCGAAGGCTATCATACATAGAAAATGAGTTTCGGAGTGAATATCAGGTATGTTACATGTTCTC